GCTGCGGTTGGAGGTAGCAACTGAAGGAGGCAATCAGCTGTGCGACGACTGGAGGCAGCAGCCGCCGGCCGGAGGTGGCAGCGAGGGCCTTTGCAAGAAGAGAGAAAAAATATATTCTAAAAGAAAAGAACCTAAGCTCTGATACCATGTTGTGATTCAGGAATTGTGTGTATTGTTGTACACATACCAATCTTATTTATAGATTGAATACAATAAATGATAGAGATACTAATCTCTAATATTATGGAAACTAATCTAATCATATCCCTAATTGATAGTGAGGATAGTAACCATAATATATGTATCCACAATATCTGTAATATATTTACAATATCTGTAACACTAGTATTGGTATTCTGTTTCTTTTGTTTATTTATTTATTCTGTGATTATACAATCAGAATTTCTCTGTTGTTCAACATTATAATTTGTTTTGCAGTAGCAATTAATGACACTTCTAGTATTGGTATTCTGTTTCTTAATTTGGCTTTGTGTATATAGTGCTCGGTTCATAAGCAGATATATGCATGAAATTCTTGCAAATCTCATGGGGTTCTATTAAGTTGTCATTGTTAATTGTTGATAAGCAACTGTTATACAATTATCTACTTATTATAGTTCTGTTTCACTACTTACTATTAAAATGGTTTCCTACTAGGACAGCCCCAATGATATTTCTTACGTCTTCTCTGGATATGCACCACTTAGCATTCGACTGGTCCAGCATGCCATTCGATCTGGATGGTAAATCTGAATCTCTAATAGTGAAGGTCTCCCTAGTTCTTGTTGAACATGACAATTACCTTTCTTATTCTGTTATTTACCTAAATACGTAATTGTAAATAAATTTTATACAGAAGTTAATGGAACTGTAAATTTCATCACATGCATATTTATATCTGACGTGGCTTTTGTTGAATGCTTTACTTGTTAGACATAGTTTAAAATGCTAAACGTCCTGCTCTGTTGCAAGACATTAGTTTTTTGCTCTGTTGCAGGATATTTTATGTAGAAAACATAATATTACTAGAACATTTTTTTTCGTTTTTTTAAAGAAATAATTTTCATTGAGACAGAAATAGTAAGTTTAAAAAAAAAGGATAAGACATTCTCAAAATAAAATACAAAAGAAACACCTAGAAACAAAGTTTGAGACATGTAACAAGGCATGCCAATCTCCCTACATATCTAGCAATGAAACCCCTCTAAAGTCTAAGCAGTCCATATGAATATGATAAAAATGAAGGTTGTTTGATATTAAACAGCTATTTATACCCAATTAGAGTTTCTTAAAGCTTCTCATTTTCCCTTTTGGTGCATTATTGCATGCAATGCATTCGCTTTTGCTTGAATATATCATTGATCGGTTGAGTGATTATATTAAATTTTAAAGTGAATTTATTTGCTTGGGTAGTGAATTAAGCTTAGTTGTTGACCAACTGATACATTACTGAATGTCATTGATATTTTAGGCGTCCTGTTGAAGAAATTTTGAAGCTACTGCCTGGACCTCATTTGGAAACAAAGAGGGTTAGTACTTGTCAAGTTGACCCACTGAATTTTGTTTTAACTCATGTTATAGTTCTCAACTCTTACTGAATGTGTTTTGTCATGTCATGTTTCCAAGTTCTTTAACTGTTTGAATCAAAATCACATAATTACTAATTTTCCATTCACCTTTTTTAATAGTTATATTTTAAATTCTTGCTCTATTGCTTGTACAGGGTGGATTCTCAAATAGCCCATCATTTGACACTTTATCAGGGGTTTCAACCAGCATAGCTAAGTATGCTTACATCAGTGCTAGTTTTTAAAATTCTGCATCCTTTCCTTTATCATTAGTAAAATGCTATCAAAAGAAATGTTATAAATTCCAGGTAGTTGAATGCTAACCATTTCATGTAATGGTTAAGTCACTACAATAAACATTTTGAAATTATGGCTTTAATAATGTTCAGTCAGATTTTGTTATATATGCTATATTATACCCACAATCGTTTACTTGTGGTTATGGATGATATCAATTAGCCCCTAAGCTGTGCTTTAAGACCTTGCAAAATCTACTAACTGTAGGGGGGATTTCAACACACTTCTATTTGTTTTAGTTTTTGGTGATAGGTTCTTAAAAAAGAAAGCTGTTACTGTTAGAACTGGATGGTTTACATTTGACATTGGTGTGTCAAAACTTATTGAAATTTGGAGTCTTCAAGGAATCATTTCTTAACCTTTTTTTTCTTTGGCACTTCACATATTTCAGAGTACCTGATGGAAGGCGTGCCCTGGTGCTTGTTGTCTTTGTTGGGGGCGTTACATTTGCAGAGATTTCTGCACTTCGATTTTTGAGTGCTCAGGTGTGTCATAACTAATGCCTATTTTTGAATGTCTCCTAGACACTATGTTAACCAATACAATGAATACACTTTTCCTATAATTTAAATCTAATTTTTTGAATAGGGTTATCAGTTCATAATATATCAGTTAAACAGACTTCCGTGCTTGGTAAATTTGTGTGGCCTAGCCTGGTGGATGAACAATTTATTTTTTATTTTTGATGGGGGTTCTCTAATTATGGAAATCTGTGGTTGGTGCTCTTTTATCTTCATTCTTCATTGAGCACAGGAGAATAGTGGACAGATATCAGGATAATTGTCTTCAAGACCTTATTTGTGATAACATGACTCCAAGAATGGTACAACGGGTAATCTAATAAGGATCAAATTGTTAAGTTCAAATAATTAAAGTTAAAATAATATCAAAGCCAATCAAAGTTGAGTGGATTTCTAAATACACACTACTTAAAAGGATTTCAAAATCAATTCCTATTTTATAACTTACCAAACACAATTTCTTTTTTGATTCAAATTAATTCTTAACATTTGTTTTCCAAACACATTCTCAGAGACTTCTAGACTCTAATGAATTATTGACACGACTCTCTATGATGCGATATACTCATGCAAAAGGTCTCAAATGTCTGAAACACCGAGTCTTGGAATGTGGAACCACGGAGTTTTAACTGAAAAGACTATGGAGATAACGATTTGGATACAATAATTAGAACTAGAGGAAGGATAAATATAGTGGCTGCAAGAAACAAATGGGTTCTAGAAAAAAGTTGGTCTTTAGATTTACTAGCTTGGCTATCAAGAAGAGATCAACCAAGGTAAATATGGATCTGATATGGTGCATAATGTTAAGTCTGATGTGGGAAGAATAATAGTTGGCCAGCATAATGAAAGACCTTCCATTTGGATGGTTTATTCTAGAAGGAATAGGCAGGACCCCAGTGTAGTTAGTTAGTAGTAGTGTGAGCTAATTCACATTCAGAGTATGTAAGAGGAATGGTGTGCGCATGAAGAGGGGGATTAAGGGGGAAGAAGTCTGTCTAGATCATTAAGTTGGTCGGCGAGAATATAATCAATATATCTCTTAGAAGCTGTTGCCCTGTTTACCTATTTGTACTTACTCTGGGATTTGTTTCCCATTCAAAAATACTTCTCGAGACTATATCCTTTATTCTGGTTTTTAATTTGGTCTGACCTGCTGGATCTAAAGGAGGATTTCATTCCTTAGTGATGGTTGCTGTCCATGCCACTGAAATATTTTTACCATACCCCTCAAATTGGACTAGATACTTGTATCGAATTTGATTTTTTGGTGGATCCAGAAGGGATTATTCAAACCATCCCAATAGGATAAAAGAACTGGTTGGGAGAGAAGCAAAATACAGTCCATAGGGGATACGGTGTTGGAAAAAGAAACGAGGGAAAGCAGGAAAGACAATTTTGGACTTGAGTAGAATATTTGATGGTTAGTACTTTCAAAAATAGGATGAACATGTTATTACTTTCAAAAGCCGAACCTCAGGAACATAAAGATAGGGATAAAAATATATATTTTCAAATGTACCATTATTCAAATCGTATTTCCAATAGTGTGGTGGTGTGGAATGCAGAGTGGACAAGTTGTTTTCATAACGTTTAATATATACGTATTTGATTTGGTTCAATGTTGGACTGTACTGGGGAATTTATTTTGTCTCTTCCTTATATCCTGCTTTATCCAATTAACCGGGCATTGGGAATAAATCTTCTTGATAGGGTCTTATCCCCTAATTCTTGATGTGGTTTATTTTGCAGGAGGGCATGGCATATGATTTAATTATTGCAACAACAAAAATAGTCAATGGCCAAACCTTGGTTGAAACATTTATGGAAAAGCTAGGTTGATGAATGAGTGTGCTTTTGTCATTGTATCATCTGGGTATCTGTTTGTTTGTGATGGTGAGTTTATCTTGATGATGCCTTACCAATGCTGTGCCTAAGCGAGTTACTTTTGGACGATGCTGAACTGATGCTGTGTAGAAAGCTTTATTGATGCTATAAAATCCTCCTCTGTTGATTTTCTTAGAGAGACAATTAGGGGGACAGGAACCTAGTCTTTTGAGGGCTGTCTGGAATTAATGGTATGAGCGCTATTTTTCTCTGTGCTCTATTTCTATGTGGCAAATGATCGAGCATTGTGTGCAATGGGTTTGCCCACTATATTAGTAGTGTTATTCTTCGTTTTAGTTGAATTTGTTAAGTGACACAAGTCCTTTTCCCCCATGGAAATTTAAATGGCGGCAATATCAATTCTAGACCTTGAAATCTCACTTTTGATTTTTTTTTTTACCAATTATACTTTTGGTATGAGAGCTTAAATTTTATACACATTTTGGTTTGACTGTTAAAGTGCTTTTGTACATGGTGGGGATCAACCACTTTAAAACATTTATGTATTATTTACTTGTTTATTTCCCTTTTTTGGTTAATTTTTTCATTTACTTGATATGTATGAAATATGAATATACCTTTGACGCATTATAAATAGTCCGAGGACTTTTGTTCACCTATTTTAAAAATAGTCCACTTTTAGTCCTTATTAGGGAGGCTAACATGATATAAAAAAATTAAGATTCTAAATATTTTCAGATTAGTGGGAAAAACGATCACTTTTAAATTGGGGAACCAAAAGAAAACTATATCCAAAATTTGAAGACAAAAGATATTCAAGCATTAATTAAACTATGCAAATGTATCTTAATTAATTTTTGGTGCACCTACATGATATGATTAACTTATTCTCTCATTGGATTATTGTATCTTTTTATATCATAAACGGGAATAATAGATTTAATTAACACACAATACACAAGGAAATAATCAGATATAATATATATTTTTCTTAACTATAGTATTTGTATGAAGTATTTGTTATTGAAAGAAGTGACTAATCTTTGGTGGGAGATTGTGTGTGTACACAAGGTAGATATCTTCTTCCAAGCATAATTTATTTCAAGTTTAAGATTAGAATTCAAACATTAGACAACTTAGTTAAATAAAATAATTTGTTATCATTTATGTTAATTAATATTGGTCAAATAATAATTTATATAATATATTTTGTAATGAGCATTTTTTTTTTGAGAAATAAGGAGTTGCACTTTTTGTGGGTGCTTGTTTTTCTTGTATTACTGAGTGCTTGTGTACAAATAATATTTTTGACAATTGTATGTGTAATTTCTTTGGTTTGAACTTTATATGATTTTAGTGTCGTAAATTTCTCAAGCTAAGTAAGCTTTTTTATTTTATAAATTAACTAAATTTAGTCTCCCATCTTCTACCTAAAATCTTCTATTAAAATTTATAGACTAAAACATTAAATTCCATCACAAAATAAAATCTCAAAATTTTCGGTTATCAAACCCTAATCTCATACCTTATAAAATCCTTTAAACTTTATAGAACTTTCACGAACTTTCTTAGTTCTAAATTTTTAAAATTATTAAATATCTCAAATACATCATAAACCCCTAAATATTTAGGTAAAATAATCAATTGAGAGTTTTAAGTAGAAAAATACTAATAAGGGGACAAAATTCACTAAATTTTAAAATTAGAGGCACTTAATTAACTAAAAAAAACTTAGGAGATTAAAATTGCACATAGGATAAATTAGAAAGACATAAGTGACAATCAAACATTTTTCTTAATATTCCATTCATGTCATAATTAAGACACATTTGGATAAATAACAAAGTCAAGGACTTATTTAATAAGAGTTAAAGTGCTTAATTAAATAAACTTATTTCACGATGCTTCACCTTAAAACTCATTGAAATGAGTTTTAAGAAACACTTTTATAAACTTGACCAAACACCTTCAATTTTTCACCTAAGTACTTATATGTGACAAGTGAAAAGAAAATTCTATAAGATCTCTTTCAAATGTCCCTTTAATTGAGAAATTTGAAAATTGTTTCTTTTTTTCTAATATATTTTTTATATATTGGACTAATTTATATATGCATATAAGATTGTTTCAATTTAATGATTAATTTTAAGTTTAAATCTTAAATATGTAATTACATTAAATATTTATAATAAAAAAAAACTCATTATTCATAATAGCCTTATTTGACTCGAGTAAAATTATTTCTTTTAAAGACACATGCAGTCTCCTCGAAAAAGAAAAAAAAGAAAAAAAAAAAAAGACACAAGTAATACTGTTAATGAACTAGTTAATTCCAAGATAAGTTTAGTTTGATCAGAGCTTGGAATCGGTTCCTGGCTTGGTGTATATTAATTGAACAAAAGCATAAGAATACCATAGCTCCAGTCTGGTTGTTTACAGCCTTAAATTTTGGCTTTTACTACAACAGTAAGTTCCAAGAATTACAAACTTCGCTATGAAAGACAATGGCAGAAACTTATTCCATCTATAATCCTCGCGTGACATCTTCAATACACAATTTACAGCATTCCCTATACAGACAAATAAAAACATAATACAAAATTTCACAGTTTACATATGAAAGATGAATACAGTATTATCTCGTGCCAATGGTTTATAATACATAATTCTCTGACCATCTATGAGCTATATAATAAAATAACACCGAGACTAAGAATTTCGCAGGTTATCATCCCCTTCCATTCGTTGCAAGAGTTCCAATATGCTACCAGCTTTTCTCTTAGCTCTATCAGTTCCATTTTCTAATAACTCCTGCAGTGCAGCTTCTGCACCATGTTCTTTTGCTAGTTTTAATTGCAGTGGATCTCCAGTGCATAGCGACCACAAGACAGCGACAGCATTCTCGCGGTTGCGTGGAGAGCCGGTTCGTATAACCTCAACTAGAGTAGGGATTGGCTCCGCCTGACCGATCGCTACCCTGCCTTCATGGTGGTTTACAAGGATTGCCAATATAGCTAGTGCTTCATCTACCATGCCACCCCCAGCATCCTTCAGAAATTGTATCAGAGGGGCTACTATACCAGCTTTTATAGCTCTTGCTTTGTTTCCCTGGTAAATAGATAGATTAAAGATAGCAGTAGCAGCATCCTTCTTACCTCTAGGAGTACCTTCACAAAGTAACTTTATAAGAGCAGGAATAGCTCCGGCAGCACCTATTTGCACCTTGTTCTCGTCTAGAACAGATAAACTGAAGAGAGTTGCAGCTGCATTTTCTCTAGCCTCCATGCTTCCATTTTTCAGTACATCTACAATATCTGGTATGGCTCCGGCATTTACTATGGTCCCTTTGTTACTGTCATTGATCGAAAGATTGAGAAGTGCAGTAACAGCGTGCTCCTGAGTTCGAGGATCTGAAGAAGACAACAAGTCTACAAGAGGTGGTATTGCTCCTGCCTCAGCAATGCATACTCGGTTATCTGCATTCCTCTTAGCCAGCAACCGGAGCTCACCAGCAGCTGCCCTTTGCTGTTCTATGTCGCTACTCATTAGTTTATACAATAAAGCACTAATAGCATTTCGATCACAATCTGAAAGACTGCTTGGACCACACTTCTTTGTTCTACAGCTCCCTTGCTTCTTGGGTAGCTCGATGCCATTGCTTTCGCACCACAAAGCAATCAGACTCTTTAAAACATAGTTAGGGGTGAGGGCTGTATGTACAAGTGTTTGCTGTGTCTTGGGGCAGGTTTTGTGACCAGCATCAAGCCATTTTTGAATGCAAGATCTTTCATATGTCTGCAAAAGAAGGCATTAAGTTAATGAATAATCATAACTTACTGTAGAAAGTGCTACATATGAGGATAATTTCAGATTATACCTGACCGGTAGAGACAATTACAGGATCTTTCATTAGTTCAAGAGATATAGGACATCGAAAATCATCTGGGATCACAGGAGACCTGTGCTTAACTGACAATTTTTCACATTCACTGGTGTCAACTTCTGGATTTTCTTTGAGCACACAATCCCTCAGTTTGCTAAGAAGGGATGTGATCATTTCAAAAGAGTCTCCTACTTCACCGTTTGTGATCAACAATTCATGCAATTCAGTAGACTCTTTCCTTAGGTCATTTATTGTCTTCAGATGCAACTTCTCAGAAAGTCTTTTGAGTATAGCAGGCTCAGGGTCTTTTTCTTTTTGTGCTAATGCCATATCCAGGTCTAGTTGAATATCAACAAATTCTGTTTGAGCTTTGGCTCTTTTGAATTGAGCATGCACCAGTTCAATCTGAAAAGGATTAAAATAGTTGTGAAAAATATGGCACATAAGATGCTGCCCTTTCTCTTTGCCAAAGCATCACTCACAGAAATTTAAAAGCACGTCGGCAATCAAGTATGATTCCTAGAAATGGTAAAAAAAAAGTTGATACGTGGTATTGCCGATCTCCTTCCAATATATGATAAAGGTTTACCTGTTCTCGAACTTCCTCTGATATCTCAAGTTTGTTGTAAGGAATTTCACTGAGCACAGCTTCAATTTTTTCGGTTACTTTTTGGAACTTATCTGCTGTATCATTCCTCTGCAAAGCCTGAGACATGTAAACAATAATTAGATTAAAATTAACAGTAAGGACTCAGGATCAACTAACATGTTTGGTAACAAAATTGAACTAGCAGGCATAGAGCATCTGCAGATTTTATATTGTCTTGCCCGAATTTTAATGATATTCATCAACAATGAAAAATGAAATAGTCAGCTAATGCAATGTACATATGGAAGGAAGAAACTTGCTCAGGTAATTTAAACTTCAAGCATCTGTTCTGTTCAGTTCATAGGTTTTCCTATGCGCTATATAGATTAAAGAAAATAATAGATGAACATTACATATAGAAATAGGAGTACCAATATATATACACATATATACATATTATGAACACACACACTTCACGGACATGCTTCAAATTCAAGAAACAACATCCACTTAAGTAATAGGACTATCCTGCCATTAAATTTGGGAATTTGTGTCTACATATATTAACACCTTATAATTGAAGAAAGTAGAAATTCTCTTCAACAAAGTCCATCAAGAAAGATACTGGTAGAAAGTTTTGGCATGTCACATACAAATATACAATCCAACACATGAAAAGTTCTGCCAAATATGGTATTAGAGAGCATTGGCGTCCACCATGAAAAGAGGTTTTCCCCTTCGTTGCACAGGGTTCGCAAAGCTTGCCCATCAAGGCATATGATAAAATCTTCACCCCCAACATAGCATCCATATGCAAAAAGATAGATGCATATGATATATACACTCAAGCTTGAGGAGACGTGTTAAAAATATGTTAAAATTCCATCTTGATTCTGTTTCCCCGTTTACTTCGTTTCTCTATTGTAATTTAGTTTTCTTAGATAACTTAACCATATTTAGTTTTTCATAAAAAAAAATGACCATAATCCCTAAACTTTAAGGATTGATTTAGATTTTGTGCATATAAATAATAATAATACAAATCGCTAAAAAATATATACAATCACCTACAAAACTGAGTTAACTCATTCCTTTTCGAGAAAACACCAAAACTACACAAAATTCAACCCTCGAGAAGATTTACCAAAACCAGAAAGCCATACATACCTGATAAAGCTTACTCCCTTGGTTCACAGCCTTTAAAAGGGTCTTAGCTGAATCCAAAGCAACCAAAAGAGACTCAAAGCTTTGAAGCTGTTCATCGCTTAGGGACTCATCACTATCCTTCAATTCCTCGAAGAGAGGACTCAACAGCTTCACTCTACGAACCAAATTCCCATACACCCTCTTGCAAAAGTTCTGACACTCTGGCAACCCAGAAATCTCCTTCACGCACTCAACCAAACGACCCATAACCACACCCTTCGAGCTCTCGCTCCCACCCATGTTGAGAAAAAGTCAAAGCTGCAAACTTTGACCACAAGATCGAAGGTGAATCAGAGTTGGAAGGTGATTGAGGATACCCAGATGAGGGAACTGTGGGAAATAATGGACTAAAACGGAGAATTGGAACCCACCATGGAGCTGAAAGAGAAGCTTGTGTTGTGTTAGTTGATAGAGAGAGAATTTGAGAAAGGGAAAAGGAATTGGAAAATTATAGAGGATGAAATGAAAGTGTGGGAATGGAATTGAAATTGCAGAGGATTGAAGAAGAAGCGTTTGTTTAAGACATTGAGGTTTTGGTTTTGCGTTTGACCTTTTGAAAAGGTCATTTGCTTGCCTCGCTCGTAGGTAAGACACAGACTATGAGAGAACCAACGCTGTTCTTTTTCTCTCCTTTGACCAAATTCTTGTTTTGCAACTTTTTTTCTTCTTTCCTTTTTACTCCTAAATTTTATTTTTTTTTATGAATAGAAAATATTACATTGATGGTAAGGAATATCCAACATAAATTTTTATTCATTTATTTCCATCTTTATTATTAAACAAACTCTAAAATTTAAACATAAAATTTTATGACGGTGAAAAAAAAAGACTCTACTTAAAATAAAATTAATAATTTATATACTTATTAAAAATTGTGTATAATTATTAAAAATATAATAAACAAGATAATGATAGACACCAAATAGAAATTTTCACTTTATTAATATATAGATTTTCACTATTAGAATTATTTCAGTAATTCAATTTTTATTTTTCAAATTTCGGGCGACAAAACCAACTAAGATGGACAAAGACAAAGTTGTCAGGTTGAACATTTATGTTGCGTGTATAGAAAATAAATTATAAAAAGATAAAGTTTACCCTAATATTTTGTACTTCTTGAAATAGATTGGATTTGAATATAGAAAAATAATTTATAGTTAAGTAACCATATGGCTATAAATAGTTATAGATACTTATGCTTTTTTTAGACGTAAGTATACATTTTTTAAGTATAATATTTACAGCTGTAAAAAAAAGTATAATATTTACAGAGATGGTTATAATCATAAATTTTTAGACGTTTATGCACTTCTAGAAAATTTAAAGCATTTGTAATTTGAAATTCACCAAATATTTATTTTAAATAATTAATAAATGACAATAGTTATAAAAATAAAAATTAACGGACTAAGAGATAATCTACTTTAAATATGAGATTGACCTAGTATTCTTTGTTATTTGTCCGTGTTAAAATAATGTTTAATCGGTGAAAGTCATGCTTTGTGAGCGCAAATTAATCTTTAATTATCAGTTTTAAAACACTATATGAATTATGTTCATGAATACAAAATATCTTATTAGTTAGTCATTAGAGAGCATGAAATTGATTAATGATGAGTGTTTGAAGGTAAATTACTATTTACAAGTAAAAATAATACAGTAATGTTACACATACAATGAAATTTATACAACTTGTACATTATTACTTTTATATTTATCTCTCTCGATCATTAATAATATATCTTCTATAATAAATGAAGTGATGAAAAAAGATAGATATAAAAGTAATGTTATATAAATCATTATATGTCTAAAAAATTATAATTTTTTTTTTCATAAAATAATTTTGATATTTTTTATTATACTTTTTTTATTTTTCTTTACTCCACAATAATAACATATTAATTGTCAAGGATTAAATTACTTAAAATTTAGATAGAAAATAAGAGTATAATCAAATATGAGGGATCTACTTACTCTACTCAATAAATCATATTTTAATTATTATATATTTTATGCACACTCAAGATCTTCAATAAAAATTAACAATTTATTATTTTAAAAACTGAATCAACTCAAATTCATCATATATATTTCAATATTAATTTAAAATTATATTCAACAAAAAATACTAACATTTCAATTAAAAAAATACAAGTTTTTTTTAAGCTCCATTGAATTAAACTCGATTAATTTCAAAAACAGTCATCGACATTTGATAATTGAAGGGTTTTAGGTGAGTTATCAGTCGTAAATATTTTGTCGAAACTGTGTCAATAATGATTTTAAAAATTTCATACCAAACGGCAGTTTGAAAAATTCTAATACTTTGCCAACATGTTGCACGATGCAGTCAAATGCGTATTATTATATAAAGACGCGTAGCCAGCAAATTAAATAAAAACCGAAATCTTAGCAGCCTTGCATTTTTATTTTCTTTAATCAAAACAAAAGTGAATAGAAAAGAAGTATTGTATGCGTCATTTTCCATTTGACTTTTGACATGCCTTTACTCATTACTCATCCTTCCCTACCATCACTTCACTTGGTTGCGTAAAGGAAATGCAACTTACATTCTATTATAAATAAATCCTGCTATTTTTAAAAATATTTAATCCCGTTATGTATTACATAATTTTCTTAAATTGCATTTAATCACACCCAAGAATAAATGTTTAGTCTAAAGTAAGAAGCATAATAAACTTTATAGAATCCAAATACGTTAAATTTAGGCATGATTTGTGGTTCCACAACAACCAAATGCCTTGATATCATAGCCTTAATTAGGCATACCAGTCAATAAGATACGAAATGATTCATTTTTGTGGGTCTCACAAAGCATAGACTAATATATATCATCTATCTCACATGATATTATTAAAATCATCACAATATACATAAAAATAAAAATAAAAAAAATACATAACCCATAATACATTACAGTTTTGAAGGATCCAAAGCTAATGCAGATCCTTTACCGGACTGCAATCTGGCTACATCAACTAACTGGTGGGCGAGGCAGTCTTTTCGCAATTTCCTGTTAAAACAAAAATTTCAATGCTTCAGCCTAAATCATATATCAAAATAAGGGCGTGTACATAAAAGAAGATACACATAACCTTAATCAAATACTGCACAAACACCTTCTTTATCTACTACCATACTAGAGGTTGTCTACACAAATATGCAACCATGATTATAGAAACTAGATATTGGTGTTTAGATTTTTATCCCACTGAGGCATTATAGTGATAGTAATACAAAGATGTTTGAAGACAAGTTAACTAACAAATCAAGCATGCTGCCATGAATTACAATTTTAGATGCACTTACAGCACAACAAGACATTATTGACAAGGACACGCAAGAAATGACTCGATTCCAGTTCCAGGATACTAATAACCCAGTATTAAATCTTTGCCATAAAACATCAAAGACCTCCTTTTAAGCCGCAAAAAGGGAAATGAAAAACAAGTTAGAGATCCTAATCAGAACTCCACAAGGCATTCATGGATCAGCAACACAATTAACTAATCTGTATCAAATGTTATATAGGTCTTGTTTAGATAAATTTCTCCATAAGCACATACAGAAGAAAACAAAATGAATTGAACTTCTCTCAAAAACTGAACTCAACTTATGCACCCTCAAGTTAAATAAGAGGACTTCTATATGTGCATAAGTTGACTTTAGCTTAAGAGAGAAACTCAATTCGTTTTTTTTTCCTTCTATAAATTTTTATAGAGATGTTTATCCAAATAGTGTTATAGCCTAAATAGAGACAACAACCGAATTCCAGAGTCCCTCTCAACAAATTTTAATTATTATAGGACAGAAACAGCAAGTACTTTAGAATAATACATCCACAAATTTTTGTTAATTAATTGTTATTTTCATACCAAAAAATCATGCTTGGTTGCAAACTACAATCTTTATCTTTCTATCCTCGGTGTTTAATCCATCAGGCCTCCAATGGTTGTGGTTCTTGAGAGGCTGGGTCCTTTTCATATGTAGGAGGCTACCTAGAAGTTGGTGCTTCTCTACAGGTAGAAATCTAGCATAACCTTAAGATGTAGCCTGGGCCATTCTATTTCTGTTTCTCTAACCTAAAATACAATTTATCAGTTAACTCCCTTATGTATTCCAAGACCAAGATATTACCTTTGTCAGAAAAGACTCAATCTTGGATTTTTGTAGGACGGGATTCCTATTCCAAGATCATCTTTAGCCCCTCCAATAGGTCTCTATGAGTTTGCTACAACTATCTTCAGGCAGCAAGAACAGCTTGGGGAAGCTTGCTAGTAGCATAGTCAACAATGTCCTAAGAGACCAAAGATCAGAGTTAAAACCAAAAATTCACTACTAGCATTGCCTCCGGAAAATCCTAAAGATCTTTTAAGTCAATATCAAACAGTTCCTAACACTTGAGCATGCTTTTGACTTAAGCTTCTTGTAGCCTGAGTGTACTGTAGAACTAAAATTAAACAGACTAACCTTCGGATCATATCATTGATTTCAAATTAAACAGACAAGTATCAGAAAAGGACCATATCATTTTGGCACCTTATTTTCAATTAGAAGAGACATATATTTCCAAGTTATTTTATGATACTTATTTTTTGTACAGATGATAAAACTGCGATCATGGATATTTAATACAGGTCAAAATAATTGTAGGGTACCCAAGGTAAGATGTGATCATGTCCAATTCTAGTTGCCCTAACAATCACAACAGCTAACTATTGTTCATACATTTTCATCTTGCTTGACAAAAACAAAATGTTATGATTAAATTTATAGCCTAATAAAACGTACCTCAAACAGTTCATTAATATTATCTGCGGTCTTTGCAGATGTCTCTATGAAAAACATACCATTCTTGTCTGCATAGTCAATGCCATCCTTCATTGAAACAGTAAAGCATACTATATGAGAAAAACAAATGATTATTTTGTTTATAAGACAGACATATACTGGAGTGTTGCAATACCTGTACAGCCACTTCCCGCTTCTCTAGAAGATCAGCTTTATTACCAACCAATGCCATCACTATATCGGGACTCCCATGTTTTTGTAGCTCCTAAAAAATTATTAATATTTCAGTTGCTAAAACAAAATAGACAGGAAACATAGCTCCTAACAAAATAGCTCCTATCTAATAACTTTTATAACATATAAGAGATATTTAACAGCATAATGATCAAAGAGATGCCAATTATGAGTAGGTCAGAGGACTATTTGTAATTCCTTTTATTCTTCAGATAGCTTTTTTAACAGCTTATTATTCCATAATAATAGCGATTATATTTTTTTTCCAACTCCAAAAGAAGCCAATAAATGCAACCTCGTGCAAAATAAAGAATAAGGGAAAGCACTCCATTGCAATATTAAGAACATATTAAGCCAATTATGAGTAGTCCATTACGTGCAAATATAAAAAATTTATTGTGTTTTTCTATACACAAGAACAACAAAAATCTGTAAAATATCTGTGTTTTGTCAAAAACTAGGGTTTAGAGAGGCCATTTATTTGTTAAGTCCTTCTTAATAGTTTCACCAAGAGTTTTTCTAAGTCTTTCCCTGTAACTAATGGGCTATTCTCTAATCAACTTTTTTTAAATAAGGCAGCTATTGATTTTCTCACATGATCTTAGGTGCAATTCTACCATTTTTTCCTTTATGTGCTACTCCTACTTTTCTTCTAATACATTTGTCCTATGCTTATCTTGTATAACCACCCATCCTTCTCAATATTCACATCTCATACAACAAATAGCTTATGCTCTTTTTGGCACTTCAATGCCCAACATAACATAACTCATTGCTGGATATAACTATGCAATAAAAGTTCTCTTCAAACTTAAGTGGCGCCTTTTAATCATACAGAACACATCATTGAAATTCCACCTAACTAGCTTGAATCTAATACTTTACATCTCCCTCTCTGTCTCTGTTACTTTGTATGATTGATCCAATTGATCCAAGATACCTAAATTGTAACTTGTGGAATGCCTCAATGCCACAATTACATTTTCACCCTCCAGGCCATACTAAGCACAGGACTTGCAGAAGTTACATCTCATATTCTCTGGCTTCTACTAAAACAAAGACCATGTGATTCCAAATCTTCTCTCCACAATTGTGTTTACCATTTATTCCCTCTCTTAATCCTCCCACTAGGATATAACATCTGCAAAAAAATGCAGTGAAAACTGACTTTCTACAAACACAAAAAAAATGATTCATGACTAGAATTTATGGTAATTAATCTATAATATATTGCCAACTTTAGATAGTCATCTATGCATGAGTACTCTTAATGGTCGTCATACTTGTACACAATTGGTATGTAACTGTTGCTAGTACTTGTCAGGTATACAGAGGTATGTACCTGATTTAAATTCTAACAAATTGCATTATTAAATATATTTCTATATATCTTGGTTAAAGCATTGCAGATTTAATTGGAATTCCAATTTTACTTAATTAAGACCCATAGCTTTCTACAGTCTACTACAACAAATTTTAAGTGATTTGCCTGTCAAGTGACAATAAGCCTCTGAAACAGAAAAAAAAAATGCGGCACCATTGTTTAAAGGTAAATAACACTGCATCAGTGCACATTTCATTCTGTCTCTTACCCTATCTCTCATCTACCAAAATATAAAACCTTGTAGTACAAGTACACTTTCAAACCTTGCACATCCTAGCTCACTTAATTATTATCCAATTCCAGATCAAAGACACAGCATCAATGTCTTTAACTTCCTTGTTACCTGCTGTTAGGTAAGAGTATTGCTATCAAGTCATGATAACATCAACCTGGTGACTTTCAATAACTTAATTATGAAGATTATAAATGAAGAAAATGGATTAAAATAGAACTGTATGCAATTCATGATTCCACATTTCCAGACTAATATATAGGGAATTGTTTCTTACTCATGTCACTCAAAATTTCAAATAAGAAATGGCAATATAAAACCATGCAATAACTGCAAATCTACCTTAACCCAGTACTGTGCTTTGCTGAAAGATTCTGGGCATGTTATATCATAGACAATAACTGCAACTGCAGCACCACGGTAATAGAGCGGTGCTAATGCAGCGTACCTGAATTATATAATTAGCAAACAGATTTTACTTCAGAAAGTATTTGCTGTTGATGTAAGTAACAGGGGGAATGTCATCAGAAACAGAATGCATAGTTGAGCTCTCCTAATGGTTTTGTACAATAGATCATGCATAATCTGAAAAGATAAATGACAGTTACCTCTCTTGACCAGCAGTATCCCATATTTCAAACTTGACTGTTGTAGAGTCTTGCAGAGCTATTGTTTGCGACAAAAAAGAGGCTCCAACAGTTACCTTACATTACAAAGTCAAAAACATATAAGAACAATTCCGTAGTATAATTATCATATCAAGACAAGAAATTTATATCATAGACCATATTAAGAAAGTTTACATTAAAAAATAAAATACAAGTACTAAGTAACATTTTCACCTTGGATGTTGGATCAAACTGACCACGAACAAAGCGTAGAACAATACAGCTTTTACCAACACCAGAATCACCTAAGAGAACAAGCTGTTTTCAGTGACATTTAAAGGTTAGTCACGGTTTCATTTAAAGGTTACACAAGAAAATACTGGCAGTATAACAAAATTTGTTATGACTTATGACTAATTTCAACTAAATCCCTTCATCCTTCAATGACTTATTAAAGTTAAAAATGCTATCATATATAGAAATTCCTGTGAACTATCTCAATATTCATTCTATCTGGTTTTCCATAAACACTAACACTAATTGGTGTCCAAATCCATCATCTGTATCATCTATAAACTCGTATTCTAACAATTGATTGTAAATTTGCAGATAAACAGAATGAGAAGGATACATGACTACTATTTGTTTGTAAATGGTACTGCTTGCACATAATCCAGTACTTGAAAGACCCAGATAGCTTGACGCAAAGGTTACAAAAATAGTAAAGTTTCATCTATGACCATATTTCCCATTCACTCTTCTTTGGATGTTGATCAAATTGCAGTTTAGTAAGTAAAGACATAAAAGTTACACCAAACACTAGATTTTCATCCATTTCCCATTCGTTCAACATTTGTCACTAATTAAAGTATCAAAACTTGCAACAACTCACATATAACAATTCACAACCAAAACAAGACTTGTATGACAGAATCAAGATATATATGGTTCTCAAGCTTTTAGTCACCTATATAATTAACAACAATGTTATGTTCTCTTTCTGCTTTCTGTAGCTTCCTTTAATAAACAAGATGGGTATGTATATATTTTTACGAGGAATGTTAAAATATAAGAGGAAATGTTTCAGACGCTTTTTTATGGATGTTATTGGGAAATACTTGCAGTTTTCAGTAGATGAGTATTTCTGGTAATATTAGTAATGTATGGTTCCAGAGTGAAATCAGATTCTGTATAATGTCTGGCTTCACCTTGTACACATTTTCATGACTAAGTTTTACAAGAGACTGGTTATGGGTGAAAACCGAAAACGAAACAGTATTGCTACATATACACATGGTTTTGTTACAATGCTTCTGTGGATAGTTGCAGACTTTAAATAAAAGCATCATGACATGGTTGGTCTCTACCACATGATATATATTCCATGACACAGAAACTCCAAATGTGATTCTTTTTTACAGTATTGGCAATGGCAATTACTTACAGCAGATCTACAACAGAGTTCAGTTTATAGAAATGAAAGTAAATGAACTAAATTATTGATTTCATTCCAATGAAACAAAAATGAACAGAATTGGGGCAGTGTATTGAACTTGGTGTTTATTTTAATAAAAATGTTTTTTTTGAAAATAATCGTTCAAATCAATCATCCAAACAGAAGCTAGACTAATTATTCATCAAATATAAAGCCTGCTCAACAAATAAAGGGTCTTTAAACAGTATTGCACCAAACCATTCAACAAACACAAGCCCCATGTCATACAGCAGAGTATCACAATTACTCAAAATCATTTGAAAACAAAGTGAAACAAAATCCAGGGAATTTATCATTTGTAACAAAAAACCGAAATCTCCCCAGCCTCCCTCTCCTTCCTCATTCAACAACATATCCAAAACTTGCAGAGACAGGTAAATGTGTGACACCATATTGATAAAAAAAAAATAAATAAAAAAAAAAAAAACTTTTTTCTTAATTATATATTAAAAAAAAAAACAAAGAATTTAGCAAAACATGATCAATCAAAGGAACTGAGCGCACAAATACCTTGACTCTTAGATTCTTGGCGTCCTGCCCTCCACCATTCTCGGAAGTGGGTCGACCCAACAGCCTTGAATCCCTATCTGCAAACACAAAATCAATTTCCCCAAAGCCCCATCAGAGCCAAAACTCAATAATAGCCTCTAACAACGAAACCCCATTAAACCATAACCTCAAAAACACAAATCAAAGCCACAACCAATCAAAAAATATAAATTTTTTTTCAACCCCTTTTGAGCTCCAGAGCTAAATCAACAACAAAACATAAAACTGAACGAAGAAAAAAAGGCAACAGGGGAATAATTTGATTACCTGGAAGGGAGGAGCCGCAACCCATAGCGAGAGGAGAAGATTTGGCACAGATGGGGATGCTTTGATGAATAAGAATGGGTTATGTCAAAAAAAAAATTAGACCCTTTTTGTTTTGTTTTGTTTATTGTTTCCCACGAAAATTGGTGGTGTACCAACTCGGGGGATTTGAGCGTTGGTAAGTTAATGGAAGCTCCGAATTGGAAATAATGAAATTCTGGCGTGGTTTGCACAAATGTTGGGTCTTAAATCTTAATCCTTGTATCGTGCTTTCCTTTGGGACCAGGATTTCCACTTCCCACTCCTCAAAATGGAATTTTTTTAATTAATTTATTTATTTGTACCTTTTTTTTACATTTTTTTTATTAAATGAGAGTTTTTAACAAATTCATTTAAACTTGTAAAATAATTTGTTGGTTTTATAATTTTTTTAAAGACATTTCAGTTGATTTCAGAAAAAAAAAATATATATATATTTTCAGCTTCTTTCTTACTTCTTTTAACGAAATTTATGGATTTATTCATGTGAACACTTTAAATAAACAAAAATGAAAATGAAAGTTTAAGAGATAAGAGATTCTTTTCCTGATTTAAAGTAAAGAAATGATATGTCATGCTAGAGACAAAAATCTACACAACTTTTTTAATTCTTTTCCAAAGCTGATTTATGTATCTTGTAGTGGAGTTGAACAACTTTGTGATTTTATATATTTTTATTTAAAAATAATAAAAATTATATTATGGAAATCAAGATAATATATAATTAAAAAAGATAAATTAATTTAAAATAAAAGTAATTACAAAATAAAATGATATTTATTATTATAAAGTGGACTACAATTAAATTGTTATATACATTTTTCTATTTTATTATATTAAAAAATATGATAATGAAAAAATATATAATAAATAAGTATAAATGTCAAAATGAAATTATAAAAAACAAAATAAGATATCCTATATTTGATAATTAAGTGGCATATATATATATATATAT